TTGCTTGTTTTTATAGCTACCCCACCATTAAATTAAAAGGTTTTCTCTAAATTACATATTAAGAATTAAAGCCATGTAATAATGTTAGGCTTTTTTAGAGAGAAGGGCAATTGCTTTTTATAATGTTTTTTTCCTATTTTCTGTAATACAACTTTCTAGTAACACTAGGAAGCTTCCAGGAAGCTAAAATTAAAGCTTTAATTAGTGTTAGTGGGAGTGTGCATTGCCCCAGAAAATACATTGAAGTTAGATTCAGCTCCTAAATATGTTGAAAGAGGGCACAAATGTTAATCTTACCTAATTCTAATAATAATGATGTTTAAAAGAATTTTAATAATAGCAATGACAACTTATTACTGAGCACTTTGTGCCATTCATCTTTCAGTTCTACGAGGTAGGTTGGTATTATTTATCCCCATTCCACCTAAAAGATAACTGAAGCTTAGAGAAGTTAAGTAAGGTCCACATTTTGTAAGTGAGGTTAAGTAAGGTCCATATTTTGTAAGGATTCTAACTCAGACCTCTCTAAGTGCCAAAGTCCATGAACTTAACTACTATTAAAATAACATCTTAAGCAAGGTTGATGACATATTTAACAAATTGAATAATCTCATATTAACTCCAGTGGCTGGGTTTAAAACATTTATTGAAATATCTCTGAGGGCAGTAATAATTTGGATCTTTCTAGATTAGTGAAATCTTACTTGTGTGGGGCACACTTGGAATTTGGGGGAACCACTAAAAAGTCAGAAGTAGGAAGTAATTTTTTTTTAACAATGACAGAAGTGATGCATCATGACCTCCTGTTTCTAGTTTTTGTTTGGTTGTTTTTTTATGAGAATTTCAAACATAAACATATTCATACACAATAGCAGAGTGAACCTTATGATCATCTTCAACAATTATCAGCTCATGGCCAATGTGTGCACACTCCCCGAGCCTCGCCCAAAATTATTTGAAGCAGTAGTAGAATCCATATCATTTCATCTCTAAGTGTTGTATCTCTGAAAAGATAAAGATTCTTTTTTAAACAAAACTGTAATACCATTACCACACCTATAAAAATGAACAATAATCCCTTAACATCATCAGAAATCCAGTAAATGTTTAAATTGCCGATTGTCTCATGAATGTCATACTTTCTTGTAACAAATTATTTGAATCAGGATTCAGATAAAATCCACACATTGCAATATCCTTTTAAAAAAACCAACATGATCCCCTTTCATCTCTCTTTTTCCTCTTCCTTGCGACTTATTTATTGAAGAAATGTCTTTCTTTCCCTCAGAGTTTCCTTCAGTCTGGATTTTGTCGATTTCATTCCTGTGACATAGTGTCACATATTCCTCTAACTCCTATGTTTCTTACAAATTGGAAATTAGATCTAAAGCCTTGGTCAGATTCAGGTTTGATTTTTTTTTTTTTTTTTGGTCAAGACTGTTTCATGCTCTTTTCTTCCATCAGAAGGGACTTAATGTCTAGGTCTCTCCTTTTGTGCTTGTTGTGAGCAGCCACTGGTGTTCAGTGCCAAGTCTCCTGAAGTTTTGGGGACACTATTTTGGTGGTACGAGAAGAGCCAGCTTGCAGGTAGTGGAAGAAAGGTCATCTTGTTATAGGCGTCAGGAGAAATCACCCTCAGAGACTGATATGGAAAAGGAAAAGGAAAAAAAAACTTTATTGCCGGCTGCCGGGACCGCACCAGCCAATTCAGGGTGCGGTGGCGAGCTGTTTTTACTTTCGGTTTTTCAAGCTGCAAGCGCAGCAACTTGGTCACCCAATCACCCCGCTAGGAGTTATTAGCCAATGCAAGCAAGCCAGCAGTACATAAGCTAATTTCGCAGTTAGCATGGCTCCTTCCAGCCCCTCCCACATTTTTCTGCCCGGGTTTTTCCCGCCTGAGTTTATACAAAACGGTGGGGTTATTTTAAATGGCATCGGTCCTGCTCTCAGAAAAAGGACATTACTTCAATCTCTCTTGTTCACTGTCGCCCAGTGAGCTGGAGCATCTGGGTAAGGTAGAATCACAGACTAAGGTCTCCCAGATAAGAACTTCCAGGGACCCATCACCCCAACATTATGCTTTTTTTTAAGAATGATTTTGTAAAAACACACATATCGTTCAATGCATGAACTATCAGTACGTAAGTAAAATTATAGCAAAATATAGAACAAAGACAAATTTTAAAAGTATACAAAGTACACTGTTCTTGTTCGATGAATGGCACCATTACTTGGAGCCCCCTTTGCCATAATCTGTTTTCACTTGTTCATTAAATACTCATTGTTTATTCTGTGTTAATTTTGCTTTACTACTTACCTAATGCTCTTTGAGCAGAACCAGGATATCCTGAATGTACAGATCTTGGATTCTGTGCAACTGGTCCCCTCCAGGAGAAGCTCAAGCAAACCATGCCTCTTCAGCTCTCTTTTGTTAAGTGAGCCTGAGCCTTACTGATCTTTGCCCTGTATTCATTCAGACGGCCCTGTTGTGAGTTGGAGCAAGTTTGTCTCCTTCCTTTTCTCTCTTCTTATCTCTCCTTTTCTTCCTTCCTTCCTTCCATCCTTCCTTTCTTTCCCCTTCTTCTCTTTCTTCTTTTTGGATCAGAATTAACTTTCATAGCAAATAATAATAATAATACAAATAAGGATTAGTAATTATAAAATACCCTGCTGGAAATTCAGTTAAAGCTTCCTAATGTAAACAAAAATTTAAGGATTAGGGAGAATTATTTTGGTAGACCCTTGACTCTACCCAAATTATTTTTGGAGAGAGTTAGATGTGGGGCAAGCCAAATCAGATGCCCCAAATTCACCTGTTACACCTAGTAAATGTATGATTGGTAGGTTGTCCCTCAAAACCAGTCTAATAAATAGACCTTATTTTGTTTCTAAATATAGGGACTTAGAATAGTGTATTACTTTCAACTTTTAATTATCTGTCAAGCCCCAAGATAAATAGTAAAATTTTTCAAATAAATGTCATCGTTCTTATTATGTGGTTTCCATTCAAAACATTGGACTATTTATAGCGTCAGATTCTTTTTTTTAATAGACACATAAAAATTTTATGTATTTATGGTGTACAGTATGATGTTTTGATATATGTATACATTATAGAATGAGTAAATCAAGCTAATTAACATATCTCACCTCATATACTTACCTTTTTTGTAGTGAGAACATTTAAAATCTGCTTTTTAGAAATTTTGTAGTTTATGATATGTCTTAGTCTGTTAAGACTGCTACAACAAATTACCCTGGCTTATAAACAACAG